GAGGTCGGATTCGAACCACGGACCTTCCGGTCAGTAAATTCGCGTTCTTACCACTTGGGCCATCTCGCCCCAACTGAGAAGCTAGTGGACCCAGAAATCAAAACGAAAACCTCTGAACCGTCTCCTCGAACAGCTGTCAAACGGTGCGATATTAACGGCCACTGGGAGCAGATATCTAGTGCTACTCGGAGCTGGAACTCCCGTTTGCGATATGACCCTGCCAACCACATACAAACACTGTCTCTGATAGGACCATGGCTATGCTGGAGGCCCGGCGACAGACTCCTCCTGTACACAACCACAAGTCAACCTCACGCAAGGTCCATGCAGACCGAGAGGCTTGGTGGACCCGAAAGGCCGAAGAAATCGAAGATACAAAAAATGCTGGGAACGTCCGCAGGTTGTTTCATTCGATTTGTTCGACTGGTCCTCGGAAGCCTCTTGTCAGAGAAACTATCATGAAGCGGAGTGGTGTTCTGATATCCAGTAGAGAACGTTTGGACCGCTGGGTACAATACTTCGAACATTTCAGTTCGCCACGTTCTACCTGGAACCTAAATTGCTAGCCTTCAACAGGTAGGTGGACTGTGAGCAAGGAAACCCCACAACCGAGTGTACATCTGTACTAAAACGTCACCGTGCTTCTGACTTTGACGACCTTCCACCTGCTCTATTCAAGTCAACGCGTCTAACCCATTTGGGTTTATAAGGGAGAAAGAGGCTGTTCCAAGAACTGTGGTGAGTCGATAGGATACATTCTGAAGTGAGGCATGTAAAACTTGATATCTACAGCACAACCTGGACTCCTACCATACCGTTCTTGTATGACAAACATTCTAGTATTTATGGACAGCTTAGCCGAAGCCAAAGATGGAGGACTCATATGGGATGTTATATCTTTCGGCTTCTCAAAAGCATCCGATTGAGTCTCGTATGTTCCGCTGCTTCACAAACTCTAGTTTTATGGAATTCAAGGGGAAATTTAAGTGAAAGTAGTGCAGTATAGTGCCATTATGGTTGATGTATATGTAAGTAATGGTGGTGAGCTTTCTTCCTGTTTTCCATCCACGGGAACTGTCGTGAACCCCTGCCCCTCGTGAATCACTGTCCCCTGGTTCTTCCATAGCGTGCATACTACAGTAGACTCGACTTACTCATTTTCTACACCGGCCTCTGTTGGAATTCCTCAAGGCTCAGTTCTAGGACCACTCCTATTTTTGACCTATGTCAACGACTTTCCAGATACGTTTTCAAGCACATGTCTACCTTTTTCGGACGACCTTAAATCTCGGAGCTCCAACGGCGGAACCCCCCAAATTGATGCTCACTCTGCAAACTAGCGGTCACTGAACTGGAAACTTCCGCTGATGGACGGAAAATACGTCCACATATCGTTGGGAGACTCGAAATTCACGTCGTCGTCGTGGCCCGTGAAAGTAGGACAGAAGACATTACGAGGATTGCTACTAAAATGATAGGGGTACCTGGCTCTCTTTAAACAAGTCATTCTAACTGCACCATCAAAAACAGGCTCTAAAGACATTCGTCGTTCTACGGGACATTCGACGCATCTTCCCCCCATGAACTTACAGATACTCTATGGGACCTACGTCAAACCGATCATCGAATGTGGCAAACAGGTTATCTGCTCAGGACGCAAGAACGATAACCCCCATTGAGCGTGCCCGACGAGCTGCTACGATGGTTGCTGGCCGAGCACCTCGAGGTGCTTGAAATCGTCTCCCCAGACCATCATCGCATCCGGGAGGACCACATCATTGCGCTTTGTTTGAACGCGGCTTGGAGGAGAGTCGTTACAGCGCTGACCACATTAATATGCGGCGGGGATGTTGTAAATTCAAGGCTTTCGACATTAGAGCATGCGTTACTATTGAAAAATGATGTATCTCATTCCAAATAGTTGGTGCGTGGAAAAACCTTCCTCTGAAGGTTGTCCACACCGTACCTAGAACCCACTTTAGATCTCATGTGAGTCCCAGCGCTGGTAAGTGCGTTAGAGGCACTAGGGGACAGCAATTCTCCGAAGGCAGTGGTTCACAACAATTTCTGTGGATAGAAGACAGAAAGACAGATCATGAAATGAATCCCAGTAAGCCAGGTTGCAGATTACCAATCAATCAATCAAGCTGACAGACACCATACACTTAGAACTCAAACAGCAGTGCTACACGGCTTTTCTCATTCCCTTCAGATGGGAAAAAGCAATGAACGACGAGAGCAAACAGACCCAGGAAGCTATGGGCAAAATCATCGATCCTGTGTACCAAACCATGAGCCCGAGAATACGTACGCGGATGTGCCACGACCCGGCTACAGGGTTTACGGACGTAAGCAGTGATTGGTTAGAATACGAGCCAATCCAAAAATGGGGCGTTCGCACACAACCACGAAGATACTAGCATGACGCTGTTGCGGCCGAATTCCTCCGTCTCCGTAAGCATCCGCTTCAAGTTACCGTCTTTTCTGATATCCAATGGCTGGTGGAACATGTTGCCAAGCAAGGATCTTACTTGCAATAACGTTTGAGGTATGTCGTATTTAGCGTTTATCGTCAGACTAACGACTGAACTTTCTCCATGACTAGACTTTGAACGACGGAAATCTTTGCAGTACTATTTGGCATTCAACGACATTTTTAGAGAACATCTCCATCCACCAGGAGGCCGCCGTTGCATTGAAATTTGGTTTAAATTACTCCTATTAATGCACAAACCGCTGGGTGGCTTGTCACCCTGCAGATCTGGTAGCATGCACGACGGAAGAAAACCTCGTGTGGTGGACGAATACGCCCTGAAGGGAGGGTCGCCCTGTTACGTTGCGCCATGGTGCGTTCGTATACACGCCACCCCTCCCGTAGCACGGTGTACCGCCCATCGCTGGTAGTTCATATCCTGGCATTCAATTCGGGAAATCCAAAAAAGAGCACCGTTGCTGTTTGTCTGTCTCTGGATTAGCCTTGTTCCGGTTGTCGCTTGTCTCACAACACCAAGAAATACAAGCGAATGACAGCTGTCCTTCCCTCTGTTCTAAAAAATAACAAAAATATAAAAAAACCTTTATGCATGGGGTGGCCTGTGGGAACTGTATGAGGCTCACGGCCAACGTCGACGTGCAAGGAGTTACCAGTTTCGTCTTAGTTGGGTCATGCCACCGCAAGTCCACTTCATCATCCAAACATAACACACGTTCTTCCCTCTTATCACCTAGAACTATCATGTACACAAAATGCTAACAACTTATCATTTCCTGACTACAGGCAGTCACAAGTAGCACTCAATGGCTGTTTTTCCCATGCATTATTCGTTTTCTGGAGTTGACATCAGTGACTCTGCGACTGGTCGACGTAGTAGATCTCAGTTAAGGTACAATTTTTCAATTATTTGGGAAGCTGTTACTTGTGCGTTTTTATTTGTCTGCCATTCACTTTAATCCCTTTTTCTGCACAACGAGGGCCCTACATCATGATGCTTTGGTGAGCCAAAAACTACCGCCCGTTCTCAACTAGTCTAACCGCTAGTCTCCATGCTAGGTGCCTCTTCGACAAAGTTTTCACCTTCCTAAGACTCGGCACCTACTCTGGCACAATAAGTTAAAACTAGGCACGTACTCTAGCCAAATCAGTACTTGGTTTCCAGATCTGCAAACATATTCACTTTTCTTGGGTCCGTTTAGCTTGCTGTCACCCCCTTTTAGATTTTTTTGTATTGAGGCCGTTGTATCTTATGCCTCTTGACACTTTCCACACGCCAATGCTTTCACTCTATTTCTTTCCCGTTGCCCCTCTTCCCAAGCTTCAAACCTCGACTGCAGTTGCCCAAACGCCCCATAGAACTACCTACTACAATTTTGGGTTGCCCATTCCACAAGTTCAAATTCGTATACGGTGTTTGGTTCGCCCCGTATATTAGCACCACGTCTCCATCCAACCTATCCCCTGCACCTGTCTTCCCTACAACAGTGCAACCAGTGAGTCCGCTTAGTTTCATATTAAACCACATTTTTGAGACAAAACTCCCCATGTGCTCCCTGTTTGAATCATTCCATCTCCATCTTCACTTTTGCTCGTTGTGACTCCTGCCATTTACCCAACCGCCCAAGGTCACTCATGGTCAGCAATTGTTCTCAGCTTTAGTCCATGCCAGTTGGTTATCTCTTGGAACTAGTCGGACCTCATGCCCACTGTACCCAACAAGTTGGGAAAGAAAACTATTATTACTATTTCATCGAATATTCCCCACTGTTTATGACATTGTCCCCTTTGTGTGCAAGCCGCACCTCCGCAAATCTGCAATCATGCTTCGTTATGACTGTAAAACTAGGATCATGCCAGACGGTACGCCACCCAAGTTGGGAATAAACATTATTATTATTATTATGCTTCTCATTGCCGCATGCTATCGGGGACGATTATAGTGTTTTCGGAATTCTGGCAAAATACGATTGCCCAGTCGACCACCCACAAATAGCAGGCTGTTGAGAACGATAGGCTGTCACCTGTAAACAAGCGAGTTCCTAGATAGCCCTTTACATGGCTCCGAATCGAGCTTATAAGTTGTACTGAGCTCCGAGGGGAAAGCTTTTAGCTGAACGTACCGCAATATCGACCGTTCTCCTTCGTTCAGTTCGTCGAGCTGCAGAGTATTCTCACGTTCAGTACCTCTACCAACTTCTTTACTGCGGAGGTAAGGTTTGGATCTGGTAAAACAAGCTACCACTGGCCGTGGCCCCAATTACGATGAATAGTATGACAGCAACAAATAGGTTGGGAGGTCGGTTGTTGCGGTAACTGAAACTGTGGTGACGTTTTTCAACTCTAGGTTTGTGGGCGTATGATGAAGTTGTTTGATGTCATTCTCAGGCCACTGCTGTCCTTTGAGCTACAGGAACTCTTCATCTCGGATTCAAGGCTTCAATAGCTGAGAATATTTTGTACGCATGCCACGTGAGGCACATTCGGCAGGGTTCATGTTGGCCGGAACATGTCTCTACTGAGAAGTGTTAATAGTTTCGTGTATGAGGCCAAGTCTGTTGGCCACAAAGGTTTCAAACCTCAAACTTGTGCTAAAGATATAACGCGTCACAATCATTGAAACTGTCGAAAGGCGCATGTTGTCGAACCGGACTTCGAGCTGCTTCACTAGGTGGCACATTAATTTAATATACCTAATACAGCAGCCTGAAGTGAAACTGTCGAAGGCACATGTTGTCGAACCGGACTTCGAGCTG